TTAATGAACTTTTTTTTATTTTGTAGCCCTCATTTAGCTCTACAATTTAAAAAAAAGTTCATCAAAATTGGACCACTGGATGCCGAGATATTTACAAAAAACGATTTTTTGGGCCCTGAAAAATGGGCCAATCTGCCGAAAGTGTGACTTGATGATGATCGTACTTTCTCCCCCGTTGGGCTCTGCCCATTTTTTCCCATGAAGTTATGGATGAAAAATATGAGGATTTTTTGCCTTGAGTAATAGTAAAAGGACTTTTCGATGTTATATGAAGTTATTACTGAGGTCTTTAGTTTCGCCCGAACTCCTTACGGCTTATATTGAGTTAGGACCGTTATCATGAGTCTTGGAGTTACCAATAATACTGTAAGATGGCAGTTCCATACGAACGTTCCCCTGGGCTTTCTGAAAGGTTGAAAAGTAGTGCGTCTTGGTTCCTACGCCTTTAAAGTCTAACTGGCCAAGTGGTTCGCAGGCCGGACCGGTATTTCTTGGAAGGAGCTCCTGACCAACGTATTTCTTGCTAGTTGATGTTGTTAACTGGGGAGTTAGTCTTCTAAAATAAGGAGACGGAGTTGAGGTGTATGTTTGGTGAATTTTACTCAGGTTTTTCTCATTGCACTTCGAGTTTTCCTGAGGTTTATGTCTTTATTTTTTGCTTTTTGTTTTTCTTGGTCGCTTTTTTCGGTATAACCTTATTTTCTTTGGGGGGTGGGGGATACTGGAAAATTTGATCGTCATGGTGGCTTGGTGTTACAATTTTCAAAATCGATCATCATTGGAGTGATAAGGGGGGTGACAGGTTGGGTATCGCAGTTTTTGTAGTATGCTGATCAAGGTGGTCACATGATGGACTATCATTGGATTGACTTATCTAGGTAGATCTTAGGTCGATAGATTGTTCGCAATGAGGTGGGTGTCCTCCATTTGGGATCGTTCGAAATGAGGTGGGTGTCCCTTCGGGGATTGCACGACACTAAAAAGTTCCCCATTGGCTGGACTGCACGACACTAAAAAGTTCCCAGAGGTCTTTGTGAAATAGGTTTGTTATCCATAGTATGTAGTCAAATAGGGGAAATTGAATTTTAGGCGTTTTTGATAGTGCTAATGGTAGCTCAAAGGTTCTTTACCGATTCTAGGAGTGGGTACGGCGCTGGATGGGTTACGTATAGCATAGTCGACTTTACTCATTTTGAGATATATTTGGGGGGAGTAGCCGTAGTTATTTATATAGAGAGGGTGGGATTTTTAATCTTAGCTTTTCTTATTTGTAATTTCAGAAGATTATTTGTTCTTTGTTTTTCTATTAGTTCTGCACTTGTTGCGGTACTTTTTAGATCACTCTGTGTTTCTCTAAAGTTACTTCGGCATTAATTAATAAAATTCAAGCTCATGCTATGTTTACCCGAAAGTGTGACTTATGACCTGTTTTGGAGATATCCGGGGTCCTGTTAAAGATCAAAGATAGTTTAGAATTTGTCAAGGATATAGAAGCATATACAGATGAGTCATTTAAAAAATATTCACTGACATCAGTTGAGATGGGAAGTGCTTTTTTGATCAGTGGTCCAAAAAAGTTTGAATTTAATGTTAATATTACTGACAATCCGTTAGCATTTAAAGCAGAACTTATAGCAATCATATTAGTGTTACTAGTTTGTCTCAAAGACGCGAACATTACAATATATGTTGATGCACAAGCCATAATTAATATATTCAATCAATTAAAAAAAGAGTCTTTACAACAGATATCTAGAGGAAAGCGTCAATACAACGCATGGTGGATACTAAGTTTCAAAATAATCAAATTTTTCAATTTGACAGTATTGCTAGTCAAAGTTAAAGCACATGATAATAGTGAATACAATAATGTAGTAGATAAACTAGCTAAAGAGGCTTTAAATAACGATCCTGTCTTTATCGATCCAAGACTTTTAATGTATAAAGGAAATGTTTGTTGGAATCATAACCCTATTGAGAAAGAAGTTACAATTATGATTAAACACATAAGGGAAACTCAATGGATAGAAGAATTTTTCAACTTACACAGAAATGATTGTTGGAATAATTCTGAGATGCTTACAGAGATAGACTGGTCAAGTACGTTTAGAGTGCTTAAAGGTAATACTTAATTAACAAATTTTTCAGAACATGAATTAAATTCATTTAAAGTCAAAATTTGGACAGAAGAATTACCAACGCTGGATAATTTAGTTAAAAGGAAGCCACATGTTTATAGTTCTAAATGGAAATGTCCTATGTGTTTAAAAGACAAAGAAACATATACACATTTATGGAAATGTGAACATTTAGGACAAGTAAACTGGAATATGATAGGTAAATTTCAGCAACACTTACATGAACTGATATTAGCTAATAGTCAAGTGGAAAATGTAAATTCTGATTACATTTTTAAAGAAATCTTGCGTTGTAGGATTTGGGACTTTAATAAGGCATATAATTTGTCTATGCTAGCAAAAGGTTTTATACATATAGATCTGATTAACTTATTTAAGAGTTATAAAATATTAGATAAAGATAAGACAAAGTTATTAGATGGTTTGGTTAATAAATTAATTTTTGACTTTAAAATTTTTATATGGGAGTATAGAAATGTTAAATTAGCTGATTTAGAACATCAGAAAGGGATCAATTCTAAGATGAAAAAATCGGCCAACAAGTCTAAATTAGTGGCTAACAAATTAGATAAAATAGTAAGTTCACGTTGGGAGCTATGGAATAGCTTAGTTTTTGAGAAGGGAGGTCATTGGTCAAATTTTTAGGTTTTTCATGACATGTCACCTTTGACCTCAAGGTGACAGGTCAGTCTTTTCCTTTTGGAGGGGCAGTGTATTGATAATGTTTAAATTTATTTAGAATACTTTATTTTATTTTACTTTTGTAAATATATTGTATTACTTCAACATTATTATCAATAAACATGATCGCGCTATAATAACTGAAAAATACAACAAAATAGAATAAGGATAAATAATTAACCGATAGATAAATAATTAGCCAATAAAATTATATTTATAGTTTAGTTTAGTGTAACGAGATAGTCATATGATAATAGATCTTCAAATTTTATTAGAAATATTAGAAATATTAGAAATATTTTTTCTAAAAATGTATAAATACAAGTGGATTTCGATAGGAAATTCGGCAGTCAATTTTTGGCTCAAATAAAATAATATTAAAATATTAATTATTAAAAAGTTATTTAATATGAATATGCTCATTGTACGCTTGAGAATTAATTAATATTATATTATTAAGTTCGAGATTTTAAAATAATATTTGGTAAGAAAATAATGTTTTTTGTAATTTTTGTAACTAATTCTTATTTTAAACCAAGCATAGATAATATTCGAACTCAATACGTCAGTGGTAACATACGGTATTTTATTTTATTTTAATATCCTATGGGCGGCGTGTCACATTTTTGGTGCATGCTCGCGAGAAAGTAAAAGATTGTTGTCTTCATACAAAATCTAAATGAGAAATAGAAGAAAATAATATGAGAAAATGAAAAAAAAAATTTGTAAAATTAATAAGAAAAAGATGATATGAGAAATCATCAAAGAAATATGAGAAAGAAAGGATGATATGAGAAATCATCAAAGAAATATGAGAAAGGAAGGATGATATGAGAAATCATCAAAGAAATGATAAGATAAGGAAGACTTATCTGAAATATAAGAAAAATGTTACTATATATAAAAAAGGATATAGTAAAAGTAATATTATGAAAAAGGAATATTACGGAATATATGAGAAATGAAATATACGATATATTTAAAAAGTATATATCGAAAGGATAAATGAAATATTCAAGATAATAATGAAAAGATTTAAAAATTGAATGAAAATAAAAATTTATAAGGAGAATGAATTTTGTGAATAATAAGAAGTTAATAAATGATTGAAAAATTCAAAAGTATTATAAGAAGAGAAAAGTTATTAGTGACAAACCCGTAAACTACTATACTTCTATGAAGAAAGTAAAGGCAAGCCCAGTATAGGTTACTAAATGAAGAAGAAAATTAAATGATATTGTATATATGAGAAATATTGAAATGTTATTATACGAAAATAATTTTATTACAATAAAAGAATGATATGAAAGATTATAAAAGATAATAATGAATTATATTAAATAAAATGATGCAATAAAAGAAATTGCGTAAGCATGTTGCGTAAACAATATAAAATGTTGTACAAATCACGTGAGTAATGTAAATCACATGATGAAGCGCAGTAAATAAAAGAAATAAAAGAAAGTATAAGTCACGTGATAAGGCGCAGTAAAAGAAATATATAGCTGTCCCTTGGGCAGGGGTGACTGATTAATAAAAATATAAATGAATAAGAAAATAATAGAAGAAATAGTTGTGTCACCAGGGGCGTTATGTCAACAGAAATTTTAGTACGTTGATCGCTTAAAAATCCGTGGTTATCCAATTATAATAAGAAAATATTAATGAATTATAAAACGAAATGCGAGAAATAAAATAATATGAAATAGATTTGAAATAAATATTTTGGAAGTTAATATAAGAAAAAGATTAAAAGTTATTAAAAAGTTTAATTTGGTATATAGAACTGTGAGAACCCCAGTATAAATAAGCCTTTGTTGGTGATCATATTAGTCTGACACTGGGCGGCCCCAGTTATAAATAATCCCTAGCTTTGATCACAGTTTATTTGCGCAAGATATGGAAATTTTATAAATAAAATCGCGATTATAGATTATATTATAGAATGTATAGAGAAATTATAGAATCAAAGCTAGAACTTTGAAAATATTAGAATTTAAATTATATGATATTTTAAAGAGTAAAGAATTTAGTGAAGTATTGAGAATGATTAATAAAACAATAGGAATGAATGATTGATAGGAAAATATGAAAATATCAAATTAAAAATATATATATAGCTGCCCTTTGGGCAGGGGCGACTGATTAATGAAATAATAAATAAATAAGAAATAATAAATTATGAAATTAAAGGTTAAAATACCGAAAGAAGAATTAAGAAAAGTTGAAGAAAAACTAAATGATGGTATTGAAATAGAATTCTATGATGAAAATAATATGAGATTAAAGAATTGGGTTATTACATGTGAAATAATTACCGAGAAATTATTTAATGAAGAGAAAATTGAACTTGATGAAGTAATAATGAAAGAAAGTGATGATAGTTCAGAGAATAGAAGTGTTAATGATGATTCAGAATTTAATACAGAAAAAGATGAGAATGACGAAAATAATGATAATGACAATATAGTAATAAATGAAAATAATGAAAATAATGAGATAAATGATGAAATACAAAAGAATGAGACTGATAATAATGAAGAAAATGAAGAAATAGTTAAATCAGAAAATTATCAAATCTTAATGAATAGACTAAAACATAAAAGAGAAGATATTGATGAAGAAATGTTAGAAAAGGAAAATGAAGGATTATCATTATTACAATTATATTATAAAATAAGAAGGAATAATCTGATGTTATTAGAAATACATTATTATTTAGGAAAAAGGTTTGAAGAGAGATTAGAATGAGAAATTAATAAACGGAAAAGGAAAAGTAGAAAAAGGAAAACAGATAAAGAGGAACGAGAAAAGATATATAAGGAAATGATAGAAACAGGTGTAAAGAGAACAAAGAAGGGATTAAAATGAATGATGGAAAAAGCAGAAAAAGTTTGTTTATTAGTTGACAAGATAGTGAAGAAAAGAGTATTTGAAAGTAGTTGTGATATTACATCAGTAGATAACTGTACTAAGAAAGAAATAGTGGAGATAACAGAATATTTCACCAGTGTACAAGAAATGGAAGAATAAGAAGTTAAAATATAGAGATGAAATTTGAGAGTTTCAAATGAAGTGAAATTATAAGAAATATGAAAAGATGTATAATAAATAAAAGAATTAATAAATAAAGGAAAATAAAATGTTTAATTAAAATTATAAAAAGAGCAAAACTTGTACCGTAAAAAGAATGTAAAGTATATATATATTTTAAGAAGTAATACAAAAGATTAAAATAGAATACCAATATTTTATGGTGTAACAGGAGAAGATCTAAAAGAATAGACGAATCAAGTAGAAAAATATTTGTCAAAGATAAAAATTAAAGATGATTTAAGATTGTGAAGACATATCTATTAGGAAATGCGTTACTATGGTTTAAAAATAAAGGAATGTGTATTGCAGATTAGAATAAGAATGAAATTAAGGAGTTAAGATTAAAATATAGGATAATTGAAAAATATTTGTTAATAAAAGAAGTTAAGGATGATGAAAATGAAATAAAAGAAACAGTAAGAAGAATACTAAATGAATCAGAAAAAGGAAATAGTATAAAATATTTCTTGATGAAATAAGAGTTAAATTAGTTAAAGCAAAAATATTAACGATGGTAGCATTTGTAAAGCATTAATGATGTATAAATATATGGACAAAAAGTTAAAAATCAAGTTGGAAATTATTGAGAAAATAATTGGTCACTGAAAAGGAATTTTATTTTTGAGTTATAGATTTATGTTGAACAGAATCATGTGTAAATTTCATATTTAACAAATTAATGATAGAATTAATACTTTATTAATTAATATATATGATACAGAAATATAAGTAATATATAATAAAGTTGTGAAGAATACAAGAAGATAAAGAAAACTAGAAAGAAGAGATGTTAATAGAAAAGTAAAGTATGATGATCATCTTTGAAATTATTACAACGGGAAAATTAAGAAATCTGGAAAATTTTGGAATGATGCGGAATAATTTAAATTTAGAAGAAGCAATATGAAAATTTATTATGATATAGAATAACGATATTGTAAATGAGAAAGAATATAAAATATATACATAAAGAAGACTATTCTGAAATAAAATGAATATAAAGATTTGAGGAAATGCAATAATTCTTAATGTCGTTATCATGTGTTGAAGGAGGTCGAGTTTGTAAAAGTCTTTGAAATAGTGTATCGTATACCTAATAAAGTAATGGGGACATCGTACAGAATGAGGAGCGCACAACGATGAAGAAAATAATAATAAAGGGAAAGGGAAATGCGAGAAAGAAGAGAGTTTTAAAGGGTTGGCAAGGATTAGTTATAGTTTGTTAATGATTGAAAATTTTACGCCCTTAACCTCTTGCGAGGCATCTAATCACCTATAACTAACTACTCGATACGAATATTGACTGTAAGCAGTATCATTGAAACTGATCTAAAACTTTATCGCTGCTTACCTGTAGAATCTAAGAGTATATCCAGTTTAATTAAAAGAAAAGTTACATGACAAAAGAGTGAAAAATAAAGAAAATATACCTATGGAATAAAAAAAAAAAAAAAAAAAAAAAAAAAGAGGAAAAAGAAAAGTAAAGAATTTTATGAGAAAATATTAATAAGAGCTGCGAGGTAATAGGAAAGAATNTTGAAAAGTGTAAAGTTAGATTACAGAATATTAAATAGAATAATAATCATTTTCTTTTGAAATAATAAATTATTTACCAATAAGTCAAGAAATATAGTGAAACAGAAAGTTACGAGAGTCATTATGAAATTGTTGAAAGAATAATGAAGCGTAAAAAAAAAAAAAAAAAAAGAGGAAAAAGAAAAGTAAAGAATTTTATGAGAAAATATTAATAAGAGCTGCAAGGTAATAGGAAAGAATTAGAAAACAACCATGAGGAATACTTACAAAATTAAATTGATCTACAATTAGTAAAATAATGGCGTGATCAAATGGATGAGATGAGCAACAGATTAGATGGATCGACAAATTAGCTGATTAATTGAAAGAGTGATTTTGTTGGACAGAGAAATATGAGACGAGAAACCTAAAATAAATAGAGTACGTTCAAGTCAGAAGGAGACATCTGTTTTGCATTCCATTTTGGCATAACCGAGATATTCCTTGAAACCTTCGGACTTCTGACAATCTTATAAGCAGTATCATTAAAACTGTAGCGGAACGTTCTCAGGCACTGAGCCAAACATATCTTATTATACTTTAGGGACTATAAAAGTATACACGTATAATGTGCAGAGGTTTGGACTCTCCAAGTCCATCATAGAACCAGCCGTCTTTAGCGCTGCTTACCTAAGAAAAATTAAAATCACAGCGTAGGAAGTTGAGATAAAATAGTATAGGAAAAATGGAGTTAAAAAAAAAAAATAATAATAAAATAAAATAAAATAAAATAAAATAAAATAATAATAATAATAAAAATGAAAATAATGTGGGAAGAAAAAGGAGTGTGAATAAGTAGAATTTTATGGATATTTAAATGGAAGATAATATGCGTAAAACATGTAAAACTCGTAAAAATAAATTATTTTGAGGACAAAGAATTTATCGAGATAAATGATAAAATTAAGAGATCAGATATGAGTATTACGATAGAAAAATTATGAAGAAAAATTGCGCAATATTAAGAAAATATAATTGGATAATAATAAAAATTAATTAGAAATAATAATATAAAACGTATGATGACATGTGGAAAATTTCTGGAGTAAGAAGAATTATTTTTGAAACAAAGGAAAAATATTTTAAATAGTGAAACATGATAGATTGAGGGGCTAAAATAACAAATTAGGTTAATGGAATCTAAATATAGTGATCTACTAAAATTAGAGATCTATTTTTAGAAATGTTAATGAAAATGATCGATAAAAATTAGTCGCTAAATTTAAGATGAATGACAAGCCTAAAAGATGAGAAAATAATGGTAGAAAATTAAACAAATAAATTGAGAGAAGATATAGGATATTTTTATGAAACATTAAAAGAAGAAGGCTAAATGAATATGAGAATATAAAGATTAAATTAATGATAGGAAATGGAAAGTTAATATATATAATATATAATTACAAATTGTCAGGATGTTTTAGAATGGATGTAACACTTTAATCTTTACAACACCTTAACCTTTACAACATTTTAAATGGAGGAAGAGAGGTTTTATTCACGTGTAGAACAAAGAAGAATGATTCAACAAAGTTAAAACCAGGATATTTAATATATGAAAAAGAAATAAAGATATTATTAAATTTAGAAGATGAAAAAGTTACAATAACACAAAGAATTAACAGTCTAATTGAAGAATTACCAATAAGAAGAAATAAAGCAAAGAAGAATATTGAAAAAGCACAAGAACAACAAAAGAAATATCATGATAAAATTGGAAAACGAAAACAAAACTTTCAAATAGGAGATAAAGTATTATACTTTGACGTGATAAAATACAAAACACATACAGGAAAACTAGAAGAAAAATGGAAGGGACCATATTATATACATGAAGTAATAATAAATGGATTGTACAAAATTAGTAAAGAATTAAATGGAAGAATTTTAAGAAGACCAGTAAATGGAGAATTATTAAAGGAATATTTTGATAGGGAAATATTTGAACCATATATAATAATATAATATGTTTGAGACCCGAATTCAATTCTTAATTTATGGGACATAAATTTTTCAAGAGGAGGATAAATGTAATAACTGAAAAATACAACAAAATAGAATAAGGATAAATAATTAGCCGAAGGATAAATAATTAACCGATAGATAAATAATTAGCCAATAAAATTATATTTATAGTTTAGTTTAGTGTAACGAGATAGTCATATGATAATAGATCTTCAAATTTTATTAGAAATATTAGAAATATTTTTTCTAAAAATGTATAAATACAAGTGGATTTCGATAGGAAATTCGGCAGTCAATTTTTGGCTCAAATAAAATAATATTAAAATATTAATTATTAAAAAGTTATTCAATATGAATATGCTCATTGTACACTTGAGAATTAATTAATATTATATTATTAAGTTCGAGATTTTAAAATAATATTTGGTAAGAAAATAATGTTTTTTGTAATTTTTGTAACTAATTCTTATTTTAAACCAAACATAGATAATATTCGAACTCAATACGTCAGTGGTAACATACGGTATTTTATTTTATTTTAATATCCTATGGGCGGCGTGTCACATTTTTGGTGCATGCTCGCGAGAAAGTAAAAGATTGTTGTCTTCATACAAAATCTAAATGAGAAATAGAAGAAAATAATATGAGAAAATGAAAAAAAAAATTTGTAAAATTAATAAGAAAAAGATGATATGAGAAATCATCAAAGAAATATGAGAAAGAAAGGATGATATGAGAAATCATCAAAGAAATATGAGAAAGGAAGGATGATATGAGAAATCATCAAAGAAATGATAAGATAAGGAAGACTTATCTGAAATATAAGAAAAATGTTACTATATATAAAAAAGGATATAGTAAAAGTAATATTATGAAAAAGGAATATTACGGAATATATGAGAAATGAAATATACGATATATTTAAAAAGTATATATCGAAAGGATAAATGAAATATTCAAGATAATAATGAAAAGATTTAAAAATTGAATGAAAATAAAAATTTATAAGGAGAATGAATTTTGTGAATAATAAGAAGTTAATAAATGATTGAAAAATTCAAAAGTATTATAAGAAGAGAAAAGTTATTAGTGACAAACCCGTAAACTACTATACT